GCTGGGGGACGACATCGCGGGGACTTTAATAAATAGTTAGGCAAATACATAAAAGAAAATATACCGATTGATGTTCAAATTAAAAAAAGATACCTAAAGGATAATGAGGAAAGAAAAGACAGACAGTCTCTCTTTCTCTATCGATGATGAATGAAGGGTGAAGAATCCGTTGAGTCGAACATTTTTGCGTCTCGACGGGAAGTTTCCGCGTGCTTAAGGACTCTGGAAACTTTTCAATAAAGTGTAACTTACTTTCCATACGTCTCGAATGACAAAGTTCGCTCCGCTATCGTTTTTCGAAGGAATTTACGAGAGAGGGAGATTCTCGAGAGACTTTCTCGAGTGTTGTCGATAATCATTTCTGATGACGTCTTTTAAAGAAGTTCTCAGTATATTCTATTCTTTTGCAAGGGGATTTGCACGCGAATGTAGAGACGTTCTTGCAAAATATAAGAGCACTGGAAGAAATAAAACATACCTTACGTAATTTTTTTTTAAGATTTAAATGAAAATATTGCGCAATGAGAGTGTCGTTCATTAATCAAGCTAACTCACGCTTTAACAGGTATCTTCGCGCTTATATCACTTTATTGCGAAATTACTTTCCGCTTTAATGCAAAATGTCAACGTAATAAATAATATCTTTGTGTCCATCTTCCACGTAACGAACCCCCTTCCTCTCTCTCTCTCTCTCTCTCTCTCCCCCCCGGTATTATACGTTCTCCACGAGACACCAGCGAGTTTGGCGGGTATCTCTAACGGCCGACACCGCCGCTAATTGCCGTCCGTATAATTACCATATCGGGGAGATAAATATGGAGCTCTTAGCTTCTACGAGAGACACAGTACGCCAGCATTACTGTGCTTAAACGTCCGGAAGATAGAGCAGAGGGAAATAAAATATGAGCTCGAACACAAGAAATCGTACAGCGCGAAGATTCTGACGAATTAATCTACTTGTCGGCGATCTGCCTTACATTTACGTATTAACAAATGTTCCAATCCTTCACGCTTTGTCCTCGCGATGATTTGTCTACCTAAAAGTGGACTGCTCGAGAAGAGAATAAAAGACATCTTTCAAAGCATCTTTCGAGTTATATAAAACTGTTTATGTTATGCGTAAAAAAGAAGGGAAGTGAAATTTGAATATATCATTGAGATTTATAATGTCATTCCAAATTTTTACGTGGCTACGATATTAATTCTGCGACTTGAAATTTATTTTATATATTTTATTTTATTATATATTTTATTTTTTATATATTTATTATATATTTATTATATATTTATTATATATTTATTATATATTTGTTTTGAGTATTACATTCATTTATTAGCAATTTCAAATCTTGGACATGTAACCGCGTAATAGGATATTTCCGCTAATAATCTGCATCGCAGCATTATTATATCTCGACTGTCGTCTGCTTTTGCGTGAAAGGAAGTAATAACTGAAAGAAAAAAAAGAGGATCGTAAGACCCTCGCATAGACTCTGCGATAGCTATTACGAAGGATCAAAAGATTAACAATGGCTACCTGACGTCTATTTAATAACCGACTTCGTTATCTCAGCTTTACGAACCTCCATGCGTGCGGCCCCGAGACTCTTTCGTCGGCCAAGCACGAGATACAATTACCGGATGCGCATATTCTGTGACAGTACACCGTTTTCCGTTTAAATGGGGCTTCACTTGAAGAGGATTCATTATGTCGCAAAAATAACTCGCGTCTCGTCTCTCCTCCGCGCTCGGCGAGATATCTGTGTATCGGGAGCACGAGAGAAAGTTGCCCGGGCAAAATCTCCCCTCGTTCACTCGCGGAACACACGCGAGTCCGCTTGCCGTTCGCGTAATTGCCTCCTCGGAGACCCTAAGTTCCCGGTCGACCGCTAACTACTCGCTCACGCATAAACGCACGGTCGCCCAGCGATAAACGCATCCACGCGTGCGAACGACTCCAGCAGTTCGCTAATTTCCTCGACCACGACGATATTTAATGTCGTTTTCCCTCGATCCCGCGCCGGCTTGGAATGCCTCCGGCTTCACCAGGAAGCGATGGTCCGGTTGAGAAATTATCGTGGCGCCGTCGTGACGACGAGCGAGAGACGTCGCGGTCTCCCACGCGCGCATTTACCGTCTCCCTTCCTCCCCCGGGGCTCTCTTTTGCGGAGAGCAGCGACCGGAGAGCAGAAGGACGAGGGGAAGGGAACGAGACGGCGCATGCCAGCAGTGGCGACGCCTAATTAGCGACGCCGGAAATGAGGTATAGGCACTACGAAATTAGTATCTCGAGATATCCGTCTGCCCGCCATTCCTATCCTTCTCGGTGGAATGCATTCGCGTAAATTTCCTGCACGTTGGACATCTTCATTGTATCGGAACGTCGCGTCCTAGAATAGAACACCGACGCGAATTTCTGACGCACTGCGAAAAAAAGTACACACCTTCTGTTTAAGGATGTTTTGTACCTATTTTCAAAATATTGAGAATTTAATGAAAATTGTACAGAATGTCCTTACATATGTTTAGAATCTTCAGTACAATTTTTAAATCGATTCACTAAAGCGTTCACAAGTTATAAGGATTTTCATTTGCACCGAATTAACATGTGTTCTTATGGGAAACGTATAACCACGTCGATTCAAATGACAAAAAACACATGGGAATAATATTCAGAATTTGTTTAAAATTTGCAAAAGTTTAGATACAGAGGAAATATTTGGTCATATAATATTATACAAGTACTAACTGGTTAAAAAGATATTAAATATAATTCATTATAATGAAGTTAACCATGTATATCTGTCACAAGACGAAATTCTCTGCCAAAAGTTAATCATTTCGATTAACAAAATTCGGAATATTTCAGTAAAAACGCAATATTAAAAATTACTCACACAATTTCTCATACTCAAAATACATCAAAAATGGATATTCGTCAATATTGATTTTCAGCTACTTTTTGCTGGGATTGTAGCTACAAAATATCCTTAATTTAATCAAATGAAGACTGCAACTTCCTTCATTCTACGGTTTGTCGAAGTGAATTTTTTCTTGAAATTTTGCAGCGAAAACTTGAATGGATATCTCTCTTCCTCTGTTTACCTTTCAACATTTTAAACATCTTTTCATAATTGTATCTTAAATTAGATTTCTGTTAAAATAATCTCTTATACTTTGAAACTATATCTTTTATACTCTGAGGCTATTGATGCAATAGTAGTTTCTTTGCTTGAAAAAAATCAATCTTTATCAATTAATCAACGAAAGAATTTATAAATGAAAAGTGAAGTAATACGAGAGATGTAATATGTAAATTTCCAATCTAACATAAGTGTATTTTATAGAGAAACACATACATTTCGCATAATAATACTCCGTAATTATATAAATTGTATATTCAGATTGCCATTGATATTCATAACGATATGTGAGATTATCGTGATATCTCTTTCCATGTAATTGCAAACCCTATTATTTATAATGTTGTATGCTAACAATTACATATTCAGCAAACGTAAATAAATATGGGACATAATAATATGTATCGCGTTAATTGTTGTACACAAGTATTTTATTACCTACAAAATTATCTGACATGCGAAAACGCGACCAAACTTCTAAAAATTGCTCCAACTTTTACTTTCCAACGGTTTCAATGCACTGTATACATGTATACAGCGACATGTACACGTATATGTATCCGGATTAAACTCGGTAAAAATTTATATAATGGGTTGATTCACATACCGGATGTACAAAGAGAATATTTAAATGAGAATGTCTGTCTGCGCTAACTCGTGTCATCTAGTTACAAAGCTTTCACTGATGTAATTTCTGTATTTTTTTCTCTATGCGAATATCGCGGATTATATAAAATTACCTACGTTAAAAGAATTGCGCTAATAAGAGAGAGAGTACATTATAAAATTTTTTCATTGTAAAAAAACACTGCGTTATTTCCATAAAAAGAATTAAAAATATGTCGCACAATCATTACCCAAACTTTTCAAATATATTTTTAAAATATGACAAGAATATTATATTTATTTATTTCTCAATACATATTTTTTAAATAAATGTTATTAATTGAAATTTTAAAAGAGAGAAAATTGCGACAGGAGTCAACTTAATATTATTAATTATAAAATAACTTAATGTCGCTAGTCAAATAATCCAAGGATCGTTGAAAAAAGTGTAGTCGACCAAACTAGCCAGAAATTTTAAACAAAAATTCTGGCTGGTTTGGTCGACTACACTTTTTTCAACGATCCTTAATATTATTAGTGCATCTTTGACTTTGTTTCATACTCGTTAACCCATCGTCAAATATTATATGATTTCGGTTCTATCGCGATAAAAAATTTAATAAAAATATACCTATTTGAATTAGTATTTTTTATTTATAAAATCCGATAGAAATGACTTTGACTCATATTTTAAACTTCGCTTTTTTTCTTTTAAATTCACTTTTTACAACACGCTGCTTACGATAGTCGACATTTGCCGTATCGTCGTTCACAGTCACCATACCGATAGGGTGCGATTTACGGGTAACAACCCCTCACGTGCTAAGCCCCAACGTTCATCTCTCTACCAGAGTGTCGTTATAGCGACGTTCAACTAGCCAGACAATGACAAAGCTTTACGATTTAGCCCGTTACGAGTGAAAATGCCGAATTCTCGTATAATTAATTTTTTATTTTAATAATTATGACGATTGATCGATGATAATAATAAGCTCTACGTACATTTATTATCTATTATTTTCTATACAATAACAATCTTAGCTTATTATTAGTGCTATTATATTCTGGATAAAGAAACACACTCTTACACAGAGCGATCTTAATCAGATATAGCAAGGTAAGAAAATGGAAAAGAGGAACAGATAAGCGTGGTCGCCTCGATTTTATTTCACCATATATCCCAACATCCATATATTTTCCTCACGATCGCTACACTCGCTCTTCGCTAACCTCGCCTTTCTTTGTTTTCAGGGATTTGCGACCGGTTAGCTTGGAGAAAGGTCAGGAGACCCTTAGGCTCAGGGTCTATGCCTGTTACGCCTGGGGTGGGCCCCTCCTGGTCGCCGGATTGGCGGCCCTTCTGGACCATCTCCCGTCTCAACCGCAATATACGTTCCTGAGGCCCCGGTTCGGCGAGAAGCAGTGCTGGTTCTACGGTAAGTTCTTACATCGAGAGCCCCTCGTCATTTCTGCGTGAACTATTTCGCGGACATGTAAATCTATCCCGTTCCGACGTTACCCTTCGGTTCTCGTCACGCCAAACTATCACGAGCCCATCGGATTTACATTCTCCGAGATATTGAGGGACGTGACGTGCATGTGATATTGTAAAAAAAGGAATTTTGAGAGAAAATACGAAAGTGAAATGAAAATCGAAAGTTGGTTTGGTTTAAAAAATATTACACATAGAGAAAATTCTGAAACGAGAAACCTTTCACGTCAGATTTATTTCTAATAAAGAAAATTGACTTTCTTTGTAGTTCATTAAAGAGCACATGATGTGATTTGTGCTTCAATTTAGTGACACGCAGTGTAAAATAAGTGTCAATAGCGATGTCAATATAATCGTACGAAACTAGTACATGCCTCAATTAAATAGAGCAACGCGTTTATTATGGCTTGCTCCATGATGCAATTGGCGCGAATTGCTCGTCGGACGATAGTTTGAGCTAGATCATTGCTTTAATTAAACTTGGCAACGGCGCGGTTATAATCCAGACGGCTCTGGTCAATATTGTCTATGATAATGTATTATGATACCAAAACCATTCTTGCAATTCAAAACGATCGACCGCTCCAATGGGAATTATTTATAACCACGTCCGCGTAATTAATAACTGCGATATATTCGTTTCCTTTCAGACCGGATCCCTATGAGGAAGCCTTTACCATCCTCATTATCAATAAATGATTCGACAAACTGAATAATCGATTATTCGTCTGACGATTAATATCAGCGGCGAATTCATCTCTGTGATTAATTCATTTTTTTGTGAATAAATTTAATTTCTTGCTGTCGATAATAATCTCACTCGCAAGAGAAAATATAAACTTCTTATCAATTTACAAAGATTTTTAATCATGATTAATATTCATTTAATATTTTATTTATTTTAGTAATTCATAGGGCGATCATAAATTATTCTCGTCTGATACATTCTTTATTGAAGAATATAAAACAAATATTGTTCAACTCTTTGCAATATGATAATTTTCAACTTAAATATCCCCCCATCGTGATTACATCTCAGATTAAGGATAGTTATATTCGACGATAATAAGATATCGATTTGACAGATAATAATGGAGCTTATCATCGAAAGTAATACGTTGCGAGCAGACCGTTATCCGACAATCCCTTGTGATCCGATTATTCCGCCAATTAATAGAACTGGTCATCCGCGCTCTCGGAGTGCCGATTAAATTGGTTTTGTTAATCGATCGGTCGTGTCGAATTAATTGCTAATGAAGAACCGTCGTCCAGTATCGACTAGTGTCGGAAAATAAAATGATATCGCGGTCGTTATTACGTAGCCATTACGCGCACGCATATTCACGGATGATGGATTGCTTTTAAAAGAGTTCACTCTTTTCATTAGATTCTTAATTTTCGCCCTGATTATCGCGCGAATGAGAGTTGAATCGGACGGATGATCTTAATTCGATAAAGAGATGATATTTTATATTAAAAGTAATAGAAAGAGAAGAGGGGGAAAGCTGAACTGATAAAATTTCCATGAAAACATGGATAAAATGATAATTAAATTAATAAAAAAATTGATAAAAATAACAACAATTCACAGTTAAACAAACAGTTCTTTGGATATACGATTAAAAGTATATTTGAATTTTTATTTCTATACAAAATATGCGTGCGAGTTTATTCCATTATACGGGCACAAAATCGGAGATATTTATTAATACATTGTTAGTACAGTCGAGTGACAGCCACTCAACTCGCGCAAGAGGATTACATGCTCTCTCGCTGAAATATTACATATAAATCGCGCAAGCCCTCGTACATGATTCTCCCCTGACGGTATGTAATTATCCGGGCGTACAAATAATCGATTACAATAAGGAACAAAACAAGCGACCGCTACATCGACTTGCGAGCGGGTAGTTTCGTAAGAGGATTACTCGTCAGCCGAAATATTGTATTTAAGTATGACGTAGGGTATGCTGAATATAAGAAGATCGATACCCGGAGGAGAGCCTTTAATACCTCGGATCCCCAATAATAACCATCGTGGTCCGCCTGCGAATCTCTCGCAAGCGCGCGTACGAGCGAAGATAATAAGGTCCGACGTCGTAACGGCGGGCAACGGATCTTTTATTCGTGGAGCCCCGGCTACGGGCTATTTAACGACCCGTTCACCCTTAATCCACAGCCTGTAATCCGGCGCGTACACTCCGTGTCTGTCCTAAAATCCCCCGCGTATGCCGTCGATGCATTAATTCCACCACGTCGATCTATCCCGCGCGCACCGCTGATTAATACTTACCTTTTACATGCCGGATCCATCGCGGGTCCACCCCTCTGTCGCGGCCAGGGAGAGACTGCAATTACAAACAAACCGCCCACCCTCGCCGCGCGCGCGACTCGACGCCAATTTTTCCCTCCCTCGAACGAAAAACAAAAAAAGACATCAAAGAGTTGATGGCGATAATTATAGGTGTCTCCTGATTGTGGACACGGCGCGTTAATGATATTTTGCAACTCGCGTAAAGCAATCGCGTACAAAGCGTGCGACCATGTTTGAAGGGTTAATGATAAAATAAAGTGATCTCTCGTGGACGAGATGATTGTCTGCGAAGAATGTGTCTCGACACCTAGATAAATTAATGCAGATAAATTGTATAATAATATTCTAAAGATTTATTTTTACAAAATGCAATATTAACAGTGCTTCCTATTTTCGTCCTTTTCTTCGATAACACTCGACCTCGGGATTTTTCAAAAATTGTCATTGACAGGGAAGAAAGAGCGCGGTATTTCACATCGTTAAGCTTCAATCTCTTTTCTATCGCCGTGCAATTTCATCTTTTCTCTATGAAGAATACCTAGATGCGCACAAAGGTTACACCTGGCAGATAAAGCCACCCGCTAAATCGGGATAATGGTCCCTCGTGAAAGCTGCGGAACTATCGCGAGTTGTTTTTCGTGACACAATGCCGTTGCCGTAGACGAGGGGGTACTTGCGCGACAAACAAGCCACAAGCCCTCTCCCTTTATTCCAGCAACCATCGTTATAACCCTATAACGGTATAGGCTGAGACGATGGGGTAGAGAGATAAACCTTGACGCCAGCTAGTCCAACCCCATCGTGCGAGAAACGGCCAAATCCCCCTGTCGACTATATGGCCCACATAATAGGTATGCGTGTACACGCATTTATAAATGGGCCCGAGACTGTCCCCTGTTCGTTGCCCTTCTCGAGATTTAACATCGATATGAAAAGCGCCCTTTTTATAATACTAATAATATTAACGGAACAGATTCGAAATTTTATTCTTAATATTAGTAAGATTTTTCTTTTTGAATCAAGTTTTAATTAAAGATAATGCCCAAAAATAGTTTATGAATAATTAACGATCGTGAAAATAAAGGGACTCCGATAAATTAAATTGCAAGTATATAATTATTCTTAGGCACATATTGTACGAATGTAGTTGCATGTAAAACGATTTTTTTTGTGTGAAATATTTATGCTAAATCAAATCTGCTTTTTCTAGTGCAGATATCTCAATATTTAAATTTTGCGCGCGGATTTTGATCTTTTCACGGGTGGTAATTTAAGTGGATTAGTTCCAGACACAAACACGGTAAAATATTACGAGGGGTCGCATGTTATTCAGGCGTTACACATCATTAATTTATGGCAATGAAATCATTGTCATGAAATTAGAATAAATAGCAGAATCTCTGTCAATTTAATTACAATTATTCGTATTATTATCAGTCTGATATATAATCGTGTCACCTGAGAATTTACAATTACATCGATAACTCTGTCCTAAATTAAATTTATCATGTGAAATTCATGGAATTCTCTTCTTCTGCATGAATATATTTCTACAGAGAAAATTGTACCAACGATGAAGGCGTTTTTACAAAAACACATGCAACTCTTATAGCGTACTTTTATACAATATAATAACATAATAAATAATTTTTTTTTATAAAATAAAATTTTGCAGCTCTAAACATTTCGTTTTAAAGTACAAGTACAATTTTAAAAATTGACAATTGTAATGTGTATTATAATATATCTAATTCTTAATAATAAATTATACGTGAAAACACATTATTAAAAATATTATATAAAATACATTATTAAGAATTTATATTTGTAACAAATCAATAGAGCACATGTCTCATTACATTTTTAATGCGATTATTGAAAGAGTTGAGGAAAAAATAACAACGAAGAATGACGCAGAGGAAAGACGATACATAATGGCGATTAGAATAATCGAAATAGTAATGAAATGCAAAGGGAATTATCGAATGAGAAAGAGAGTCTCGGGAGCAACCCTCGCTTCCAAATCACTCCGAATCCTTCCTTATTTATCACGCAATTTCATTTATTACTCGGCTCAAGCGAATGAAATGAATTGTAAATTCGAGTTCAAAGAATGCTCCCTATTGCGCTTTGTAAAATATTACACGTACGTACGAGCTTTCCAAGGGGAACATTGCTAATGCAACTGCTATCGTTCATCGATTATATAGACATCAATGCTTTTCGCTTCCAGAGGCATTTTAGTATCATTCGGATATTCATTCATCATAACTATTGATTTAAGGATTTGAATTTGTATTCTTTTATTTTGATTGATTTAAAATATTATATAATATATTATTTATTTTTCCATCTTATGCTTAATTTTTCAACATCCAAGTATATCAAACAATCAGACACAACCCATGATTTGAATATCTGGATGCAAACATATCGAACCCGGAAATCATTAATGACGCTTATATATACATGTAAAAAATTATGTGGAAAAAAGACAGGAATAAAAAAATCACATGACAAGGATGAACGACGACGACATAAAACTTGTGCGGCGCCAGAGCCTTCATGGCTAATCTCGCGCGAACGCTCTCGACGACGAGCTAATCGGATTTGACTGCGGCAAGAACTAT